ACGAATAATCCGATTATATATGTACCGATCGGAAACAAGTCCATTTAAAGCCATTCAAAGAAAAATATGAATAGATCTCTGAGCATAATTTCTCATAATTTTAATTTTTTATAACGTTTATTATATTTAATTTGGAATTTTCGAAATGCTCGCAAAGGACTTCGCTTTCATCGGTACATTAAAGCTACAAGATATACGTAGTTTTACGGATATATTACATTTACATCTGCTTTACACCGAAAATATACCGTCATATGAATATTTTTACTTCTTTATCTCTTTTTTTTTTCCTCTCTTTATTTAAATTCCTTTACTTGTAACATTCGTATAACTATTTTTTTGTCAACTTGTTGTGATAATCACACGGTGTCTGAAAACTCGCAAATCGTTTTATGTTTTAAATTTTTCAAAGATGAAAGTTGTGAAACAATTAATCCAAGATATTCGTATTATTACGATCGATACAAATATGTATTGCTCAAGATAAAAATATGATACAATTCATAGATGATTATCCAATTCATAGAATGCTCGTTAAATTATCTTATTTTAACACGTTTAACACCCAGCACGAATCACTGATGGGTTACAATTACTTCACATCATCATTTTAAGCGAGTAGGAAGCATTCACCTTTCCGATTATAAATAATGTATTACTATTTCTAATTACTCAATTTGAGACGATTGAATTAAATTGCTAAATTGCTATCTCAATAAACAGCAGAGATTATCGTTATCATAATATTCAATATTAATTTGAGCAATAAGCGATTCCGATTTAATCTCAGACACACTATAATTTGTATGATCAAATCTCAACATTACATACAAACATTTTGTACCTCGAAAAGTTTTTTTTTGAAAATCAATTGTATCTCATGGAGCGTTAATTGGACGAATTTTATTAACATTATTAAATCCATACTTCTTCCTCATCGATTCTATCTTCATTTGCGAAGACGTAACATTCTAGTACTATTTTTCATGCACCGTGTAATACAATCAGGCTACTATTTTATGTTGTCAATTAATATTTTTTTCCCTTAATGAATACGTTTATCTATATACGTTTGGACCACCTGTCAGCCAGAACAAGCACAGCCCGATCATAATCATCCATTTTTTTTTTTTTATTTAATAATTCTCTTTAAGTATTAATGTTAACTGTAAACGGTTCAATGATTCTTTAACACTTTCCGTGCCTGGCCGTTTTTTTGATAATTTTCCATTAAGTTATTCTTAACTTGATAACGCCCTATCGTTATCATGATAGTTTACTATATAGTTAGATTAGTTAGATAGTTTTTTTCTGAAAATAATATTTATTAGAATAGAATATATTACAAAATTATTGAGAAAAAGATATTAAGAGTTAAGATTAAAAAAAAAAATTTTTCAAAGATTTCCGTTTCAAGTGGTTCACAGTTTCTTTGTATATGACGGCACAGAATGTGTTAAACACTTTTCACCAATCTAACTGGCCTCTTTTTTCGAAAAGGCATCGAACGACGAATCCATTTTTTTTTTTTTTTTCGATTTCTCTGTCCAGCAGTTATATTATTATTTCTAGTAGATACCACTGAAAATATTCTCGATAAAAGTGCGATTAGCTATCGAGAAGGAGATAGATTTCGTATAGAGAAGATATAGATCATCGAATCCTATTCAAATACAATATGCCTACGTTGAAATAGACGAGATGTTACGTGCATTTTGTACCCCTCACGGATCCTTTCGTCGTTTAAAGTGTGGCTAATCAACAAGCTTTCATTGCACGTGATAAACAGCATTCGTTTTTTTCTTGCTAAATAATATCTAGTAATAAAAAATAAAGTAAAATTTCTTTTATACTAAATTTTCTATAAATTTTATTTTTACAAATTAGAAAAGATAATGAATTTTTATTACCTAAGATTTTTGAGGAATATTTTGTAACGTATTATGATAGATAATTTTTGCAAACTCTTAGGATTTTAAATTGCGTGAAGAGAAGCGAGAAAATTCTTTTTTTCTTTTTTTTTTTTTCACTAGAATTCCCCACATATTTTTAAAATTTTTAAAATTTAATATTCTACTTAAAATATTTAAAATTAATTATTAAGATCTATTTAGAAAAAGAATTTCATTTCAAATATATAGGATTTTAAATCTTTTTTTATATTAACTTGCATAAAAGCAATATTTATATTAAATATTTATAAATAATTTAATATAAAGGAAAGATTTTAGAAAAAAATTATCGTTGAATAATTGTGGAGAACATTCAAGTTACTTTGTTTGATATAGTAAAGAACACTATTTAATATATGATGAAATTTCATAGATTTTTTATATAAATCAATATCACAAAAGTGCATACTTGAAGAAAGTGTAAATTAAAAATACCAAAGCTATCAAAAAATTGATTTAAGATATTAATAAAAACGGAAGAAAGAATAGAAGAAAAATAAGAGTAAGGGAATAGCGAAATCATTTGTTCAAAATCAATTATCTTTATTATATAAAAATGAATTATAATAAATGAATGATAACAAATTAATGATAGATGATAATTAGAAAAAATTTTTTAACGATGTAGTCAAAAATATTCAAATATTATTCGAAACATCAGTTTCATTATTCATTTTTAAGATGAAATTATAAATGTCTAAATTAATTCGTGAAGTATATTCACTATATTATAATCGTTATGTGAAATTTATGAAAATTATTATTTTTTAATTTTCTTTTTTAAATTTTTCGATTTCGATAATTATTATAAATGTAACGAATAAATTACTTATTATTTATTATCATTTATGATCGTTATATTTTTTAATTAATCGTCTATCATTAATTTATTACCATTCATTTATTACAATTTATTTTTATTTTTTTATATTATTTTATATTTATTTTATAATAAAAATAATTAATTTTGAACGATTTCGTTATTTTCTTTCCCTCGCTTTTTTAATCTCCTCTCTTTCGTCCTTGTTTATTCCTTGAAGTAAAATAGTATTTCGATTTTTGATAATGATTTCTAATTTATATTTTCATAACATTTTCGTATATAAAAAAAAAATCTGTGAAATTCCATCATCAGTTGAATAATGTCTCGTGTTTAATAATTTTAAATTCCGTTTCGCGTATAAATTCATGAATAAATTTATGAAATTTTTCAGATTTTAAATATTCGTTATTCGCGTTATTTTTCCTTCTTTGACACAAAATTATCTCTAAATAGTTGGAAATACATCGAACACACACACACATATGCTTGAAAAATATCGAAATCCGTTGAAAATATATTATTCGTAAATTGTTGACAATAATGTATTTTATCGAGAATTGTTGCGGATCGTTACTTAATTTAAACAAGATAACGATGTTACAGATAGTTAAATAGTTCTTTGACTCTCGTGTTGGAAAGTTGGTGCTATTTAGTTTGGTTGTAATGGCCGCGTTTAACCAAAACAACACTATACTCGTCTATTAGATTTGGGCATTGAAAAAGTATCTAATTAAAAATTTCGAATAAAGTTACTTTAAGTGATTATTTAATTAAAATATTCGAATGATACATTTATTCGTAACTAACCTCGGCCATTTGCCACTACAATTATTTACCACTATTATTTTTCGAATAATAAATTATTAATTATAACTTATCGAAGTAACTTTATTCGTAATTTCAACCAATTAAATTTTGCCCATCACTGTCGTCTATTTTCTCGAAACTAGATACATAGAATGACAATTGTGCAACGCTCGATTGCGATTCAAAACGATTCTGATGCAACGACGTTTCGTACCTCGTTTCTTATTGTCTACTTCGATAAACTTAAGAAGAAACGTGATATTTTCCCTTGATCGTGTCTCTTAGAAAATATGGATTCTGGTCCTTAGGAAAAATACCAGAAAAATACTCTGCTTTGCTAAGTTGTTTGGAAAAGGAAGATTTTGTTAAGTGTGTATCTCTTCTCGTTCGCGTATATCTAAATTGTACGATGCAAATTTTCAAGGTAACATTTTTGTATCGCTCGTCCTCGATCAGATTGCCAATTTAATTTTGAATCGATAAGTTTGAGTTTATCTTTGCTTTTGAAATTTTTCAGATAATATATCTCAACTTTTTTCTTTTTTTCTTTTTCTCAAGTTTTCGAAAACGGCCTAAAAGATAAACACGTCAAGTACGTAATAATTTTGACTAATCGACAATAATCGTTTGATTTCGATCAAATTTTTCTAATTCATACAAGATACAAGATCTTACAGACGCAAGACTCTAGATACACTATATATAAGTAAGATAAGACAATTTATCGTTAGTGATAGTGCGCGTACGCACGTGTATGTATGTATGTATATACGATCGTGTTTGTGTATTTAGTATAAGAGGCATGCACACATATCGATCAATTATAAAATAGATCTAATATGGAACTATGTTATTTCGAGGCGATAACCGGTTTTAATTCTTCTCTCTTCTCGCGTGTAAATAATAAAGAAAAAAAAAAAAAAAACTTGTTTCACT